ACAGGGTACTTGAACCTACCCAGACGATCCTATTACAGGTCCTTCCTGGGTTTGGTGCACATTTGAATCATTTGTAGATCTATAGCACATTTGTTTCATTTGTTGGAAGCAGCGAGGTATAGTTTCCAAATTAACGGAGCAAGCATAGGAGTGGAAGTAACACAGTTGCTCAGGCTGGCGTGGCAGGCATTCAGCAGGTAGGTGGGGCCCAATGGGAGAAACACAGGCCTCATTTCAAAAATTACAGCAAGTTGAAGTCCCTGCAGGTTAGGATTTTATGAGACGGGCCCTTTTTGTTTTTGTTTTCCAAGTCAGCTACATCTATCCTCATAAAGTCTTTGTGAAACCCATCACCACATAACTTCCTAAATCTAGCTAATGATGATATTCACCAAAATGTGTACCTAAACACCCAGGCAGCAGTGTATAGGATCGCAGATGTTCATTCCAAATGCAGTTCAGTTCGCATATCCAGTGAGGAAAGAACACTGAGTGAATTTATTACGTGAGCCACTTTAACTGAGCCAGGAGCTTAACGCCACATTCCCAAATGTGTTCAAGCCACAAAACTGGCATTTAACATCGGAAGCCAGGCTGGAAAACATTCATGAGCCACGGAATCTAACAAGGAAAACATATGTTTCATGGACTGCACTTGTCAACTTTGACTTTAGTCACAAGTAATCTTTGGCAATTAGCTCCATGACATCGGGGTCACGGGTCTGAGCCTGGTTCTTAGCTTAGTAAAAGCAAAGGCTGAAGCCGTGTGTGACACCGGTACAATGTGTCCTGGTGGCACTCTAGCACTGGACTGCTCACTTCAAGGTTAGTGGTTCAACTCTAGCAGCCATACTGCAGGAGAAAGATAAGGCTTTCTACTCCCATAAAGACTGTCTCCAAAACCCTGTACACAGTCCCAGTGAGTCAGAACCGACTTGATGGCAGAGGCTTTTTTTTTTTTGGTCACACAGGAGAACAAATCAAGGGAGCACAAATGATCCCCAATACTAAAAACACATCGTCTAGAGTTTAAAAAAAAAAAAAAAAAAACCTAACTAGAAGAATATATCCCAAACTTGTTGGTTAATCATGATTGTTTGAGAGAGAGGTTTATAAAAAAGGATGCTTTGTTTTTTCCTTCAAAATTTGGGAAATTAATATGTATTAAATTTGTGTACTGAGAGAAAAGTTTAAATGAATAGGGGTTAGTGGTATGTTTTCAGGTCAATTAATAAATTATTATAGATAGGTTGGTAAAGAAAAAAAACATGAGGAAGATTAAAAATATGTGGGAAAAAGTAACTAAAATGGAATTTTCCCATGAACTTTTGGAACGATCTCATATGCAACTATTTTTTACCTTACTCACAGAAAAATACACTTGCACGTACTAAGTGTAGAATTGGATGGTCCAACAGAACTTTCTTCAGTTAAGGATGTGATCTGTATCCATGCTGTCCCATATAGTGTTATGTCATAGAATCGATTCCTCACAGTGGCCCTGTATAGTGTTTCTGAGGAGCAGCTGGTGGGTTTGAACCACTGACCTTGCAGCTAGCAGTCCAGTACCTATCCTATAGCACCACACCGGAACTCCATCCCAATCACTACGTATCTATTGAAGATTTGAAATGTGGTGTATGCAACTTAGCGGTCAAACTTTAGTAAGCCCACAAGGCTAGTGCTAATCATATTCGACACATGGTTCTGGAGCTTTCCATCAGCTGGGAATAAGGACAGTAGCCGCGAGACGTTATGTAAGTCACTGTGCAGGGAAACCTGCGAGAGCTAGAACTTCACGGGACTGCCTTGTTTTTCCAGGTGGTTTTAAGTGTTCTGCCCCTTTGACAGGGTGCAGTCTGACCATCTTTCTATCATTCAGATTAGTGGGAAAGATTTCAACTTTCCTTCTTGGATAGGTTTTCACGTCACACAGGTAGTTCCTGATTTACAACAGGGTTGTGACATACAATGGGGTTCTACTCCAATGTTGTCAAAACTTTTAAGTTTTCATGATTGCATTTTATCATGATTATTTTTATAAATCTTTGTTGTTGGGGTTTAAAAACATTACATAGAAACTTACAATTTCAATAGCAGTACTTTCTGTTGTTAAGTGCTGTGGAGTCGGCACTTGTAGTGATCCTACATAGGGTTTCTGAGGAACAGCTGGTGACCTTGAACCAACCTTGTAGTCCAGGGCATTAAGCCACACCACCACTTCAGGACTCCATTAATAGGCACATTTTGTAAGCAAAAAAAACCCAAAAAAAAAAACCCAAAAGCAATTCATCCTAACTAGAATACTCATAAATGGTATTAAGTTGGGACAATTTCCACCAAGTTTTGCTATATGGGGATACCACACAGTCAGAATGAAATGAGGAATACTTTATTTACACTTGGGAGTCCACAGGATTACCTCCGTCCCCCACCCCACCCCCACCCCCAGCCCTTTCCAGTCTCCTGACTCCCAAGTGCTTCACTGACTGGAGAGAGCTGACCTGTTAGTGAAGCATTTCATCTATTCCATTAATCTCAAATATTTTAAGTGTTTTCCACTATATTTTGTTGTGGAGACTTCTTCCATTTATTTATTGTTGTTGTTAAGTGCTGTCGAGTCCGTTCAGATCCACAGCGACCCTGTATTGGGTTTCCAAGTGGCTGGTGGCTTTGAACTGTGACCTTGTGGCTCAAACTGACGTTGTGGTCCCAGTGCATTATCCTGCAGCACCCATATAGTGATTTTAGTATCTTCTTCCCTTTAACTTCTTGAGTAGAAGCACAAACTAATCACCAGTAAGAAGCATATTCTGAAGAATTAGTAAATGTAAGGCAAGGTAGGTAATCAGTCCTCTAAGAAAGTGAACTCATCCCTGATGTGGTGCTATAGGGTTAAGCATTGAACTGCTAGTTGGCAATTCAAACTCACCAGCAGTTCTTGGAGTGTGTTGGAACTGACTTGATGGCACACAATAATAAAGTGGTCAAGGCTCTCAATACACCAGGCACAAGTTGTCAAACTGACAAAGGTTGGTTGCGGAGAGGTCTGAGAGAACCTTACTGATAAGGTCAGCCAAACCATGGCAATCAATCTCATAAAACAAAATGTGTATGAACTGTTGAATGGAAAACCAATTTTCTGTGTAAACTTTTGCCCAAATCACAACAAAAAGTTTAAAGTTATAGGAACAATCTTAACAGTTACAGCCAATCCGACTCTCCATTTCTCACTGCCATCTAATTTACTGGTGGAACCCATTCTCTGATGTGGTTTCCAGGGAAAGCAGTTGTTTGGCTTCCTATCTCTAACTCTTGCATTTGAAATCAAATCAGGTTGGTTTGAAACCAAACACCCTGACCACTTTTGCTTTTTTGGGTGAATATTTTGCATTATCACAAAACATGAAATGGTCTTCTAACTAAATCAATTCTAAGACCCTAAGAGTAATACCTGGAAGAGGAGACATGATTCTCATCAGGCAATTTATTTTTAGCAAATAATCATGTTGCAAGTAGATTACCAAAAACTATGCTTCTGACTTACTGAAAAATAAAATAACGGTACAAGTGTGGCCCCATGATCTTTCTGGTAACATTGGGATTATTTAAGAATTTATTTAAAGCTACAGAGCTTCTCCCCCTAAAATTGCACACTAGAAAATCTTTTAAAAAATAATTTCAAGTGGTTCCTTGCTCTCTGAAACCCATATTTAGAAACTGCAAGTTAAGAATTCACCCACCACTACAAAAGGTTTTACTGTTCCCCACTAATCAAAAGATATCAACTCTGTTGGAAGCATTAATACACATTTATTTTTCTTCTCAATCTTCAGATTTCCACAAAAAAATTTAATTAGAAAAAAAAGAAAATCATTAAGTATCTTTAACTTCCCTAATTTGTCTGATTCTTTCTGTAAAACTAGGTCTGAGGCAGTAGGAACAGGAGTGACTGAGGGGACTGCAATCACTGAGAAGGCATGAAATGTGAGACTTGATGAATGTAAAACTCATCTTCTCTGTAAGCCTTCACTCAATTCACAATATTGTTAATGACAACAGGGAGATATTTGGAAGAGAATAATTTCTTACAGCATTTGGCACACACAAACAATCTGGATTAAGACTTTGAGAGACCCAAAGTATCAGAATTATGGTACCCAAGACAGCAAGTTATCAGTACAAAACAGATAACACACTCAAACTGGATAATTTGAAGAAAGTTTAATAAAGGAACAGTCCCAGAGGTGTACACAGGGTCCAGAGAAATCAACAAGGACTAAGATGTAATACAGAGCCAGTAAGAGCAATTCTTATCACCCCTGGATTTAAAAGGATAAAGAGAAGGAACTAGAAGCTAAGAGAGCTGCCTGCTGGAAGCCAGGGAATAAAATTCCTGACAACCCTTTCTCATGCCTTCTGATCTTCTGTGAGTGCTACTAATTGGATAAACACAACCTAAAGTCAGAGGGCAAGGGTGCTGGTTAATGCAGTCCATGTGGGCGCACACTTCCTGGGGCCCAGTGCAGAATGGACACTCACTGGTTCTGAAGGGAAATGAAAGATATCCTGCACAGCTCTCTTCCTATACAACTGAACAAAACTTAAATCTGCTGAAATTAAAATGACTTTCCCTAAATTCTGATTGCAAGGTTGTATGAGTTCTTCAATGAAAGGTGAAATTTTCTCATTCTTGTTGGATGTCCCTGCTTTGCTGATGCACATGTTTAGACAGCCTACTGGGCAGAGAAGTTGGCACATGAGCTCCTCAAGAGAGGTCTCAACGGAACTCTTAATGCTGACCTAAGGCTGTCAGTATTTTGAGAATCCAGAATGAATTGAGATGTAATCTTAGGATTTTCCTGTGTAGGTTCTCTTCATTAAGAATTCAGGAGCTAGGTTTTCCTAAACTCGAGAGCTCTTATGGTAGTAGAGATGGAACCCTACAGAAACATAGGCAAGTTGTAGTTTCTTAGCAAAGAGAATAAAAATATCAGGACTTCAATTTCACATTGACATTTTTATTAACGCCAACTGCTTTTTAATTATTATTTTTTTTAAAACAATAGCACAAAAATGTCTCAAGGAAGCAATCTCACAATCTGATGACCTTCTGAAATACAGTTAAGCCACACCAAATACAAATTCCTGTTAATAACACACACAAAAAAATAAAATTGAAAAAAAAAAAAAGGAAAATAAAAGTAAAAAGAGAGGTAAGGAGAGAGGAAGGGAAGATTGACAGTGAAAACTCACTGGATTGGACAGGTGGGTCTTGTTAGTAAGATACACTGTTGAAGCAAGGAATGGCACACACAGGCTTGATTGCCTTTGTTTTCTTATCCAGTTACACACTAATGTGTAGACCCTACAGTAGTTCTCACTGACTTCTCACAGACTGAATGTGCGCCAAGAGAAGCCAGTGCTGATACTGTTGTGAAGATGTCCAATAGTTGGCTGCCAGACAACTAAGTCCATTTCCAATAGAGGAACTCCTTCAGAAAGGCCTCTCTGAAAATCTTTTTTTCTATTGTCTCATCTGCATGCATTTCAGGGTTCTTAAAAGTCATCTTTAGAAAGCAAGAAAAAAAATGTCAATCAGGTGCTCCTATTTAATGTGGCTATGGAGGATGTTTCCGCATTATTTCTAAGAAGGACAACAAGGGATGGGGGTGGAGGAAAGGCTGGGGTGGAAATAAGGGGAGGAAAAACCCCAGACAGGATAAGCTTTTTTTTTTCTTTTTCTTTTTTTTCCGGGGTGGGGTGGGGGGGGCCACACAGAAGGGAAGGCAAGGAGGAAAACTACAATCCTTGATTCAGATTGAGTTGTACAGGAAAATGTATCTTCCTGATCTGTCCCCATGCCAAGAAACCGAAACAAAAAAACCAACAGAACAAAATACCACTTGGAATTATGCACAGACTCCAGCTGTCAGCCTTTCATATTGAGTCACCCCAGTAATGGGGACCACTCTGCCACAAGGCTGCTTGCAGAACCATCTCACAAAAATCCTCTTGACCCAGAAGCCTCTCTTCTTTTGGGAGGTTATAAAAACAAAACATCTGTCATTTACAGGAGAGTGTTAAATACTTTGAACCACTGACAAGGCTTCAGGAAGTTTCACAGTTTTGTTATGCTCTATTTTATTACTATCATATTTACATTTTTATTTTACTTTTTTGCTGAATTGCTGATTTTCCTTTTTTTTTCAATAGAATTTAATTCTGGAGTGTGAGCAGGAACCAGTTAACTACATTCATTGTCCAACCCCCACTGGTTTTGAAAGAAGACTCCAAATTCTTGGCATATGAATCAGCTGTTCGGTAGCTCCACCTTCTCCCTGCAGCGAAGCAGCAGAAGCGCAGTGGCTGCAAGCGCAGGGTTCACACCGTGGGTGGTGACGCCTTTCGCTGAAGGAGGTACTGGTGGATGCTCTCAGCATCTCGTTTTAGCCACGCAGCATTCAGCAGGATATTTTCACAACACTGCTGGATGGTACGCTCGGCTGAAGGAGCTGGATGACTCTCGAAGAAAGCCTGGTAGAAAACAACCCAGAATGTAGTTCTATTTAATGATCATCCCCAGCAACAGTTAAGATGTTCTTATCACAGGTTATGAAGAGAATATCCAGCGGTCTGCAGAGAGCTCATGAGTCTCACGCATCAGAATTTACCACTGTCACCCTTTGTTAATCACTTTTACCCTTTCTGTCTTTCCACATCCCCAGGCTGAAAGAAAACAACCAACATCTTGGCCTTGTACCCGGGGATACACCTAAAATAAACACTGCATGTTTAAAACCTAATAAAAAATTAATAGTAAAGAAGTAGAACTGACAGCTTTCTTTTCTTTTTAAGGCTCATTACTTCAGTGGTTAACTTAGGGTTACAATCGAGATCTGGGACTTAAAGCTTTGTCACATACTAAGCCTGCGACTTTGAGCACTTTACCTGCTCTAAATCTGTTTTATCACTTATGGGAAAATATTTATTTCCCAAGAATAAAGAGACAACCTATATAAACATCTAGCATAGTAGCTGTTATTAAGTGCCATCAAGTCGGTTCTGACTCACAGTGACTCTGTGTAGGGTTTCCAAGGGGTGTCTGGTGGGTTTGAACCGCCAACCCTGTGATTAGCAATTGAGTGCTTATTCCACAGAGCTACACAAGGACTGACACAAAGCTTAAATTGCTACTATAGTCTAATAATTTAATATTTCATATTATCACTTTTTCATACAAAAAACTATTTAAAACTTAGTCATTATTAGCCTCACCTTGGCCTTTCTTGGCAGTATTAAAAGTATTCTCCTTCACAGTACTGACTACCTGAACGATAAAATATCCTTTACATAATACAATGTAAACCAAATGAACGGAGAGACAAAGTTTATCACATAATACAATGTAAACCAAATGAACGGAGAGACAAAGTTTATCACTGTTTTCTCAAGAATAGCTGAAATAAGAAAATCTTATTTCTAATGACTCATCTAGAAAACCTAACTATCTGACAGCTCTCAGAACGTTCAAAGTCACACCTAATATTAGTCTTTGCCTTCAGAAAGATGAAAGGGAAAGTGACACTTTACAAATACTTAGTAATTTGAAAGCAAGTGCATGATTTGTGAAACTGATGATCTGCTCTATAAACCTTCACTCAATTCACAATAGCTAAGTTAAGAAACAACAAACCTTAGCAATCAAATGCACTAAGCTTAAAAGATTTTCCTAGGTAATGCAGATTTGTTCCCCAGATACTGAATTTTACAAGATCCATGTCCATACTAAACTGATCATCAACCTTTATGAGGATTTGTTATTATTGTTAACTGCTGTCCGGTTGGTTCCAACTCACAGCAACCCTGTATAGGTTTCTAAGGTGCGGCTGGTAGGTTTGAACCACTAACCTTGTAGTTCAAACTGACCTTGAGATCCAGTGCTTATCCTACAGTGCCACACCAGGACTCCTTATGAGGACTGGTGGTGGTAGTGGTGATGTGCCATGGAGTCGGTTCCGACTCATAGCGACCCTGTACTAAGAGCTCCTATATAACCATTTAGCCTCACTACAAATAGCTAACCTATGAAGGTCAGTGAAAACAAAGAACTACTATCAAGGACCTCGGCTCTAGACCCATTATGTTGCTGTTGTTAGGTTCCATCAAGTTGACCTCTATGAACAACAAAACAAAACACTGCTCGGTCCTACGCTATCGCCACAATTGTTATTACACTTGAGCCCTTTGCTACTGCCACTATGCCAATCTTTCTCTTTTTCACTGACCGTCCGCTTAACCAATCAGGACATCCTTCTCCAGGGACTAGTTCTTTCTGATAACATGACTGAATTATGACAGACTAAGGCTACTATCCTGACTTCTAAGGAACATCTGGCTGTACCTCTTCTAACATAGATTTGTTTTTCTGGCAGTCCATGGTACTTTTAATATTCTTCTCCAACCCCAAAACTCAAATGCATCAATTCTTCTAAGGTCTTCCTAGTAATTGTCCAATTTTCACATGCTTATGAGATTATTGAAAATACCATGACTTGGGTGGGTCAGGTGCAACTGAATCCTCAAACTGATATTCTTGAGCAATTTAAAGGGTTTGTGCAGCAGATCTGCCTAATGCAATTATGTTGATTTCTTGGCTACTGTTTCCATGAATGTTGATAAACAGATCCAAGCAAAATGAAGTTTTGACAACTTCAATCTTTCTTATTTATGGGTCCAGTGGTGAGGATTTAAAGTGCAGCCCATACTGAAGGCTATAGTCTTTGATCTATATCAGTATGTACTTTAAGTCCTCTTCACTTTAAGCAAGCAAGATTGTTTATCATCTGCATATCACAGGTTGTTAATAAGTCTTCCCCTAATCCTTGATGCCATGTTCTTCTTCATATAATCCAACTTCTCATATACTTGCTCCACATACAGACTGAATAAAAATGGTGAAAGAATACGACCCTGGCACACACCTTTCCTGATTTTAAACCATTCTGTGTCCTCCTGCTCTGTATGACTTAACCTACATATAGGTTCTTCATGAGCACAATTAAGTGTTTTGAAATAGTCATTCTCTCCACAATGTTGTCCACAGCTTGTCATGATCCATATAGTCAAAAACCTTTGCACAGGTAAATAAAGCACAGGTAAACATCTTTCTGGCATTCTCTCCAGGTGTTTGCACATTTCATTATAATGCCTGACTTTCTCTTCCTGAGCTGCCCTTTGGAATTTTCTTTTATCTCATTTCTTCCATGTACTTTAAAATTTCTATGCTCAGAAGCAAGTTTCAGAATCTCTTCTGAATCATTTTGGTCTGTTCTTCTTCTCTTGTTTTTTTAAAATGACCTTTTGCTTTCTTCCTTTAAGATGTTCTTGAAGTCATCCCACAAGTGTTCTGGTCTTCAGCCATTAGTATCTAATGCATCAATTCTTTTATCATCACCATCCCTTCTTATGGATGAACAAACAGGCTCAAAGGGTTTAAAAATCTTGTTCCAAGTCATACAGCTAACAAGGGATTGTGTAGAACACCTAAGTTGACTGATCGATTCTAAGGTCAGTTTTAAACCATATATACTTTTGAAAACCACATTACAATGCTCCCAAAGATGATCTCAATCCTAAATTCTTCAGACTTTAAAGATATCTTCTACGCTGTCTTTATCCAAGTAAGTTCAAGGAGATACTAAAGTGAAACATTATCTCAACACCTTATGATTACAACTTGATTAGTTACTACTTTTGCTCACTAAATTGAAAAGTGTAAACCAAATAGTACTCCCTTCAGGCCTGGAACTGAACTCACCTCCATGATTCAATTTTCAGTCAAATAATAGAGAGGTCTATTTAGGTGAACATTAATACTATACAGTTCTTAGAATAATCAACCATTTGAGATCAAAAGAGAAGCATTTACCCAAGGACAGAGTTCAGAAGACAGGAAGCATTAGGAAAGAAGGAGGAATGGAAATGAGAAACACAGGGAGGAAGTGGAGTAAATAATGTTACATTGTGGGGAATGCAATCAATGACATGAAACAAATGTGTATGAATTGTTCAATGGGAAACGGATTTGCTCAGTGAACCTTTACCTAATCCACAAAAAAATTTAAAAAAATAAAAAGTAAATAGTACTTTCTTTACCTTAACCTCTCCGGCCATTTTGTCAACTGCAAACCCCTCAACTGACAGCTGAAAAACAACAGTTGATAATGGTAAATGCAAGTAAAAGAGGCTGGGAACAGACTTCCACTCACCCACCAACAAATCATTTTGTTCTCTCCCAATGTCAGCTTTTTATAGAGGATGCAGATGCAGGATGAAGAAGCCTTTTAACAAAGCCAGTAACTATCCAGAAAAACTCTTAGAGGGCAAAGATTGCCATCTAGGGGTTTAGTGAATCATGGATGTCACACAACAACGAGGGAGCTACTGAACATAAACATTTTCACATACCTTTATTAGTCTAGATATTAAGAATCCTCCCTGGTATCGATTATAAAGCTCTTCCCAGTTGTCCTTTATAAATTTCCAAGCAGCTTTTCTACCATGCCTGCTGCCTCCAGCCACTCCACCAATTACAGATACAGTGTCCTGTGGGCGTACCTCTTCCTGAAAACAGAAAGAGAACTAAATAAAGGTCTAGTGTCTCCCTAAACATCTTCTGATGCCAGAATGGATCGCATGCTGTTAGGGTATCCAAGTAATCAAAGCTTCATTGAATACAATCACTGTTTTAGGAATAACTAGCACTAGAAGTTATCAGGAAAGAGAAGAATGTTTAATCTAAAGATTAGCTAAATTGAGCATGGGGTATTGGGACAGATATAAATAAACAGGCCGATCAATAAACACTTGCTGCGGACCTTAAGGGCAAATAAAAGCACAGGGATCAATCAGGATCCCAGTTCACAAAGGTGTCCTCAACAGGAGAAAAATGTTTCCTCTTCCAGTTATTCTGATTCTCGCCACTAGAGGGAGATAATAACCCTAAAGAAAAGCTTAAGCCAAACCTTACGGCAGGGGTGGGGAACCTTTTTCTACAAAGATTTATAACACCATTTGTGGGCCATACTAAATTATCAACTTAAAAATTAGCTTGCTATATTTGGTCAAATATTTAATTAACTCACTCTGGTAGCATAGTGGTTACAAATCAGGCTGCTAACCTCAGGGTCAGCAGTTTGAAACTAACAGCTGTTCCGCAGGACAAAGATGAGGCTTTCTGATCCCATAAAGATTTACAGCCTCGGAAACCCTGTACAGGGTCGCTATGAGTCAGAAACGACTCCACAGCACATTAACAACAACAACGTGATAACATCGGTTTGAACCACAAGGTTGGCGGTTCAAACTTCTGCTCCTTGGAAACCCCATACAGGGTCACTATGAGAACTGACTCAATAGCACTAAACAACAACAATGTGATGGCTAGAACTGTGGTTGTGTTGGTAAGGCCAGACCAAATGATTTTGTCTTGGGATGGATGTGCTCCATCCCTGCCGGAGGGTTAAGACAGATAAAAAGGATACAGGATCCAAGATACATACACACAGGAGGTTGTACGCTACCAGAGCTCCTTAAATACACACAGGTAATCCTCTCTAAATTCTTCCTGGTCAACTATCAACACTCACGGAAGCAGCAGTCAAGAAATCAAATGATGTATTGCATTAGGCAAATCTGTTGCACAAGACCTTTTTAAAGGGTTCAAGAGCAAAGATGTCAGCTTGAGGACTAAGGTGCACTTGACCCAAGCCATGGTATTTTCAATAACCACATATGCATGCAAAAGCTAGACAGTGAATACGGAAGACCGTAGAAGAATTGATGCTTTTGAGTTATGGTATTGGAGGAGAATATTGAAAGTGCCATGGGCTGTCAAAAGAACCAATAGATCTGTGTTGGAAGAAGTGCAGCCAGAGTGCTCCTTGGAGGCTAAGATAGCCAAACTTCATCTCTCATACTTCGGACATATTGTCAGGAGGGACCAGTCGCTGAAGAAGGATATCATGTTTGGTACGGTGGAGGGTCAGAGATAAAGAGGAAGACCCCCACTGGCAAAGTGGCAGCATTAATGGGCTCAAGCGTGGGCAACTATTTTGAGGTTGGCCCAGGACCAGGCAGTGTTTTCATCTGTTGTGCATAGGGTCGCTATGAGTTGGTACCGACTCGATGGCACCTAACAACAACAAAGTATTTTTAATATAACTTACTGAAAGTGCAAAAGTGAGGACTTTTTGAATCAGCTCAGGTGAAAGAGTAGCCCCAAGGACCCTTTCAATTCGGTTTTTCTCTTCCTGCATATCTGCTTGTTTGTGAAGCTGAAAGAAAAAAAGAGAGATGGTTAGTCCTCTTGGAAGCTCTGCATATGCTGACCTGAGCTTCTCTCTCCATAAAAGTTTTGCTCTACATTCTTCCCATGTAAAACTGGCAGGGCATGAAATTAACAAAGGAACACCTTTCAAGATGCCTGGGTCTTCTTAAGTCATTGCCATTACAGTAATATAAGTAGTTACTCAATGTAAGTACTCACTAGGGTGAAAAGTGCTGAGCAGTTTAACATCAAGAGTAAGTCTGTCATGGCCAAATTATTTACATGGCTGCCTAATGTTCTATATTAGATGACCAAATTCATCACACTAATCTTATACCATTAGAAGATTAGCATGAAGTGGAAAAGAAATTCTGAAAACATACAAAATATTAACATGAATGAAGCCTCCAGATTAGCAGGAATGCACTTTTTCAAGCATTTACTTTTTTCCTAATCACAAGAGAAATACATGCTTAGTGCAGACCATTAAAAAGACAGAGATTAAATAAAACCCATAATTTTACTATATGTACATTTCTAAACCAGGAATGAGATCATATTAAACATGCTAATTTTCTGACTTACTTGTTTTATTACATGTAACTTTTATTTTTTTTATACTTTTGAGTCTCGAAATCTTTCACAGTGAATATACAAAAATGTTTTCATAATCAGAGACAAAATTTAAATCAGAACTACAAATGTATAAGAGATACCTCTCAAGACAATTTAGAGACTCTCTTTAATTTTTTCCCTTTAAGATTGAACATTGACCAGTGTCTGGAGACGCCATCACAGTTCACAGTTTCCTCTTCCTTTACTCTGGACTCTTTTGTGCAGCAGGGTGGTAAAATAGGTAAGAAGTCAGGAGACCTTGGTTCTAGTCCTAGTCTTGCCTCTAACTAGCTGTGTGATTTTTACTAAGTCCTTAATCTCTCCAGGTCTCAGTTTCCCCATCTGTAAAATGAGGGGAGTGGACAGATGACTTCTAAGGTCCCTTTTAGCTCCAATATTCAATCCTGGCTGACAGGAATAAATTTTCCAAGGAAAATCTGTTTTGTCCACTAGATGGCATGATAATACCACATTGCAAATACACTTTTGAGTTAAAAGTTAATCATTTTTTATCCTGCCTCATTATTCTCAAATCAATAGAAAACAACCCTGCTCTCTTACTAGTTTTTTGAAGAACCCTGATCCTGCCCTCATTAGAACTCTTTCCACTGTTGTTGTTAAGTGCTATTGAGTCAATTCCGACTCCTAGCGGCCCTGTATAGGATTACCGAGCCTGTTCAACATTGTCTCATCTTTCTCCTGCCTGTAGTGGCTGCTGGGCTCAAACAGCCAATGTGTGGTTCACTGCACAGTGCTTATCAAACAGAGCCACTGTGATCCCCAACTAGTTTCTTGAAAAACCCTGATCCTTCCCTCATTACAGCTCTTTCTACAGTACAGGTGAATTGTCTTATATTAAATGTAAACTCTTATTAAATATCCTGTTGTGTAAATTCTTAAGTGGGCCATGATATGAAAATGTCAAGGTATGTGTCATAAACTGCCAGAACCTCTATTTTCTTCCAAATTTCTATGAAATTGATAAAAAAATTAAAATACCCCATTTCACATATAGGCATATATAGTTTCACAGACATTAAAAATGAGAAGGAACCTTAATGTCATGTAATTGAAAAGTATACTCAAAGTACAATTTTTACATCATTTGAGAGGAAGTATTAACTCCAATATGGATAGTTAAAACAGCACAGGATAGAGTCTATATTTTTCTAAACACTCTAGTCATTTTTAACAGGACTTGTTTAAAATTAAAATATTAGAAATACAGTTTGCAGTAGTAACTACTGCTCTGCATAGAATCAATGTTAATGGCACTAAAAGTGGAAGTAGTAAACACATTCCATTCCTGTCTTGTCCAGCCCTCAAAGTATAGATATTTTAATTAATGGGTTTTATAGGTCTGATGGGCTATAGTTTAGGTATTTAGGCATATTTTGCCCTTTTTTTTGTGTGCAAAAAAAGCTCCCTCTCCTCTAATACAATGAGTACAATCAAATTATTTCATTATAGACTGATAAATAATGGATTAGGGACTGGAGAAAGCATTTGTTTTACAGTATAACTACATATATGTAAGTACATAGAAGAGTTTTATCTATATTTTATCTAAGTCAGAATTTAATTATATGCCAATTACCCTGGGAAAACTACAGAGACTGTGCAGGCAGATGAATTAATTTCCTGTTCATTCATAAGGGGTGCTGGCATAGTCCAGACCATGAGACACTTGGCTGGTCTTAGTAATTTCCTAGGCACAGAAACAAACCTGTCATTTAGACATTAACGTGGGTAGTTATCAAACGTGTTTACACTGACGGTGATATTGTTAAGAACTTGACTTTTTAGCAAAAATGAATGTTTTAGAGTTAAGATTTAAGAAGCATAAACTCAGGAGTGAAAAAAGACATCTGGCATAGTAGTGAACATGAACACACAGACATTATATAATTTTTCTCACAGTTTCTTCATATTTGCATATGTGTGCACTACATTCCTTATGCCACATGTTTTCAAAAGCTCATTCTCTATGTGTCAATCCAAGTTCAACAGCAGGAAATGGTAACCCTTTCCAAATATGCTCACCTTTAGCATAATGTCTAAGGTAGTGCTATCACCATGCTTCAAAACAGTCAGATAGACCTACAAGAGAAGACAGGAAAACAAAAGAAGGCATTTGATGAAATGTACCTTGCTTCAAATACTCTAATGTTTCAGACAACATAGTCAAAAATTATAAATAGCTGGGTGTGAATGGTACATACAAATTGTGGTAAGGAGCTAACAGCCTACCCATATGTTGACGACATGTAACGACAGCAATGCACACCAGCTCTCTCAGGGGAATGTGCACTGATAGTCAACTTTTAGCACCGCAGTGCTGACTGAGAAACTTAAAGCAAGTGAGCTGCTGGCTACAAATCACCTACAAGGCATATATTAAATCGAGTCAGACACAGTTTGTGGGTTAGTACTTAGATGAGTGTTGGTTACTATTAAGAAGCTCTACCCTACACTGAACAGTCTAGATGCAGTCACCTAGAAATCAAGGTCATTCATTATAGAAACCTACAGGACTCCTCAGATCAGCAGAGAGAGTTTGCTTCCCTTCCACGTGGTCCTTAAACCGACGACGGGCTTCTTCTAACGTTGCCTTGTGGCCTGCTTTCCCAAGTTTGCCCAAAACCAAGCCCCTCAAGAGTGCATCTAGATGACCTGATTGGGAAGTAAAAAGAGACAAAGGATTACACTAAAAAAACAAAGAAAAAGTTTTAAAATCCTTTTTTTATTTTTAACAAACATGTAACCTAGATATCTTATTATTGTTTCATGTATATACTCTTGAATAACAGTCAACTGCTGTAATACTTGAGAACATTTGATTCAGATTTTTCCTTTCATAAGAGTGAAATAAAGATTAAGTAAACAAACCTATTTGCTAAATCTGTGTCACAAATACCAACCATCTGAATTTTGTAAGTGTTCACTCAGTCTAGTTAATTACATGGCTAAGGATGGCATGTGTTAGAGCAGGCTTAGATCATGCATTTTTTACCCAATGTTTGGAAAAAGACCACATCCAGAATTAGCGTGTGGCTGTGGGTTAATGCGCCAGAATGCAAAGCCATTAGAACTGCAAGGTCGGCGGTTCAAGCTCACCAGTCGCTCCTAGGAAACCTTATACAGGGTCGCTATGAGTTGGAACTGACTCGACAGCACTTAACAACAACAACAATCATGTCTGCTGTTCTGTGGGAGAAAGATGAGGCTTTCTGCTCCCGTAAAGATTTACAGCTTCAGAAACCCTGTGAAGGGCCGCTGTGAGTTGGAACCAACTCCACAGCACATAACCACCACCACCACTACCAATCATGTTTGGTAAGGTGGAGGGTCAGAAAAAAAGAAGACGACCCCCAGCGAGATGGATTGGCAAAGTGGCAGCATCAATGGGCTCAAGAGTGGCAACAATTGTGAGGTTGGCTCAGGACCGGGCAGTGTTTCATTCTGTTGTGCACAGGGTCTCTCTGAGTCGGTGCTGATTCAATGGCACCTAATAACAAGCACAATTCAAATCTTAGATTTAAAAAATAAAAGCATTATAGACTCATTTCTTCAAAGAAGAATGCAAATGCCCAATAAGCACATAAAAAGATGCTTAACATCATTAGTCAATACAGACATTGAAATAAAAACCACAATACCACTTCACTCCCACTAGGGCAGCTATTATAAGAAAAACGGAAAATATCAAGTGTTGGTGAGGATGTGGAGACACTGGAAGCCTCACCTATTGCTGCTGGGATTGTAAAATCATGTGGTTGCTGTGGAAAAGAGAATGGTAGTCTTCAAAAAGTTAACCATGGAACTACCTTATGACCAAGCAATTCTACTCCTAGATATGCAACTCCAAGAACTGAAGGCAGACACTTCAACAGATACTTGTACACTAATGTTCACTGCAATATTACTCACAATACACAAAAAGTAGAAACAACCCAAGTCTACATTAACAGGTGAGTCGACAAATATAAACAAAATGTGATGTACATAAATAGAATGATTACAGCTATAAAAAGAAACAATGCTCTGATCCATACTACAGCATAGATGAACCTTGAAACCATTATGCTGAGAGAACTAAGCCAGACACCAAAGGGCAAATATTGTAAGATTCCATTTACAGGCAATACCAACAGGTAAATTTATAGAGCTAGAAAGTAGGTCAGTGGTAGTCAGTGGCTGGGGCTGGGAGTGTGGTGGGGAGTTGTAGAGGGGATGGGGAATTATTGCTTATGTGGAACTGACCTTCTGCTTGATGAGATGAAAAACTTTTGGAAATAGTAGTGAAGGTTACACAATATGGTGAATGTAATTAATGTCATTGAAGTGTATATTAAAAAACAAAAATTAAAATGTCAAGTTTCTTATTCTATGTATTTATGACAATTAAAAAAAATCCCTCCCCTGATCCACATCTCTCACAAGCCCATCCCCTCTCTCAGCTCCTCCTTGTAGCAAAACTCCTTTAACAAATTAACTGTGCTATTTGTACTTCCTCTCTTCTGATTCTGGAGAACCGATTCCAAACATAATTGCATTCCCCACCACTCAAAAAAAACTGCTCAAGGTTAACATTTCTCCTTCCTCATTTTGCTTGACTTGGAGCAGCATTTGACACAGCTGGTCAGTCTACCTCTGCCTTAATATACTACTTCTTTAAGGCTAATGGGATACTCCTCTCCCCCATGGCTCCTCTCTCCTTACACCTTACTGGCTAGTCGTCTTCATTCTTCTTTGCCCAGTTACTCCTCATTTGCTCCATCTCTAAATCCTAGACTGCCTTCAAAGACCTCTGTTCTCTACCCATACTGTCTTTAGGTGATTTCATATATAGTCTCTTGGCTACAAACACCATCTCTACACAGCAGCTCTGAAATGTATCACTCAGTCTGGACTGCTGTATGACCTCAAATTCTGTATGTTCAAAATGGAGCTCCTGATTCCTCCCTCACTGCCTCAAGGGCAGTCTGTATACATGGCAACTTCAGTCTTCCAGTTCTTTAGGTTGAAATTTGATGACTCTCCTCTTTCTTTCCACTCCATAGTTAATCCACCAGCAAAATGATTTTTAGTTCTACCTTGAAATTATACACAGAACCTACTAGCCACAAGTGCTAGTTCCTTGGCAACTAGCACCTCACTTAGATAAGCGGTCTTCTTGCTTCCTTTCAATCTGTTCTTCATACAATCACAGAGATTATGTTCCTCTGCTCAAAATCTTCAAATTAATTTCTCTTATCATTAAGTATTAAAGTTAAAATTTTCTTACTACAACTCACTCTGCCCTGGCCCTACTGGCCTCCTTGATTCCTTGAACATTGTTGAGCTAATTTCCCTCTAGATATCTTCACAGCTCTCTTCTTCAGATCTTTCCTTAAGCTCATTTGTTGTCTCATTAGTGATGGGTTCTCTCACCACTCTACATAAAGCAGTGACCCACCCACTCCTACTCCTTACCCTACTTTATTTGTGTACTTATTTTTTATTTACTTTATCTATCTTACCCTACCCTACTTTATTATTCTTCTAGGACACTTACTGTTCCCTGGTATATTATGTATTTAATTGACTATGTGTCTCCCACTAGAATACAAGGGCAAAGTTTTGTATCACCAGCAACTAGAATATTACCTGGCATTTGTTAGATGCCTAAGTATTTTTTGAGTAAACTAAGAAAGGAAATAGAGCTATAGGTATTATTTCTAATGCTCTGATTTGCAAAAGATTCAAAGATCAAGACTTACCAGAAAGAAATACCACCTTCATTTATTAGCAGATAGGAAAGATAATTAGGTTTAAACCTTTAAAGTCCTCAGACTTAAATAACAGCAAAAGGGAAGAGAAAACACCAGATACAAAGTTCCCTTCTCTTCGCCCACTTACAGCAGGAAGCAACTCCAGAAGAAATGACCTCTGCCCCTGTACCCATAACAACAAAAGGCTGGAATGATAGAATCCCTCATCCACATGCATAATAAAATGGCTGCTTGCCGGGCTTTCGCTCTCCCTACTGGAACATCTTCTCTCCCTACCAGCACGTCATCCCTAGTCAACCTATCACCTACCTCCACCAATCTCAACCCCTCCCTCCTCTTGGACCAGTATAAAAATCCTTCCCCCAGCAATACCTCTCTTGTTTTCCTTCCGAACTCCAATAAAGCCTTACACATAGGTGTTTGTGTTCTGGCTCATTCCATCTCACAATTATAATCCTGTTTATTATATTCGGGTAACTTTTGTTTAATTAATTTCCTGAAGTAAAGACTTCATGATTGCTCTCTTTTTCTTTTAACTACTTCCTGGAGTAAAGAATTTATGATCGCTCTCTTTTTCTTTTTCTAAAGTAGGAATGCACCCCTTAAAAATTTGAACTAGTCAACCAGGTAAGGGAAAAGATTGTGCTGTCAAAACCCTAGCCAATGGAGTGAGACATAGCCTTGAGACTCACGTCAGGGATTAAAAACCTGAGTGGATTGCCCACTTGGTGTGCTCGCTGGCCTGTTCCTGTATGTACAGCTATGTGCACGGTACCTCTTGCAGGAGTAAATTTTGATTTACCAAGGTAAACAAAAAAAAAAAAAAAGGGAGGAGAAAACACATAGACAACAAAGAGCTTCCTTAGTTCAGAAAGCTGGACCTTCATGCCTCTTAGCACCTTTACAAGTTGTACTTGCAGTAATTTGTTGTTGTTGTTAGGTGCCATCAAGTCGGTACCGACCCATAGCGACCTTATACACAGCAGAACGAAACACTGCCCGATCCTGGGCCAACCTCACTATTGTTGCCATGCTTGAGTCCATCGATGCTGCCACTTGGCCA